GGAGAATTGCTCCCTCTGAATTTCCCAAGGGAAAAAAGAAATTCTCTACATAATGTTATAAGCATTTAGACACAACAATTTTGATAACTTCAGCAGTTTGTGGGCACAAATTTCCCACTAAACATGGTTTTACTTGACCATCTTCGTGCTTAACATGTAGATTATGTAATAAATGATTATGTAATAAATGATTAGGTAATAAATGATTATGTAATAAAAGGCACAAACTACACTTAAATGTTTGCCAACCAACAGCGATAAGAATAATATTTATTGTGTAATTTTGAATATCATTTTCATCTAGTATGACTCTATTTATGTCTGGTGGATATGGATGAAAACTACCCCTTGGGTGGCGAACTGCTCCCTCTTTGAATTGCCCAAGGGAAAACAAAAGGCTATACATAATATTATAAGCATTTAGACACAACAATTTTAAGCAGAAACACCTCATGGCGTTAGAAATTATACATATAATAACAAAATGCCGAAACCGAAGTAGTGGATGGTTAACTCAATGTTTGAACTTTCCCAGTTTTTTTTACATCAAAATCACAGGATATTACACATGAAATCTAAAGCCTAAAAGGTGAATTCAATTGAGTGGTTATAGGAATCACTTGATTCTTAATTAGTGCCATTGGATGTCTACAGTAAAGCCCATAGGTAATTTTCAGGTAAAGAGTACCATCTTCTGAGACCTTGCCTAAGGAAAAATGCAACACAATGCTTCCATTTGTTTGAGCTTGTTGGGTCAATTGGTACAGCATTGCAATGGTACCCCAGAGGGTGGGGGTTCAACTTCCATACAGGCCTGAATCTTTTTCAGGCATTATTTTCCTTACTGATTAAGTTGTGGTCATTATAGCAAATCACTATTGCATTCACTTTTATTTTCAGCAACATCAATTCTAATAATCTGATTGTGGGGTCTACAAAGCATTGTCTTGACTTGTGCTCAGTGATATCTATCTTTAACTCCCATGAGTGACCAAGACAGAATTTCTCCTCACCTCATCAATACAATATCAAGCAGACAAGTAATGAGAATAAAGAAAAATATCAGTTAGTGCATCACCTACACCTGTCAAGTATGTGTAATGCATAAAATCATTTTCATTTACTTTTTCTAACATTTAGATCTATGATTTTTTTTGTTAACAGCTCTAACAGCCGTCTTGGAAGCCCCAAATGGAGGTGTCGAAAGAAAGTTTGTTCACATAGTATGCAGAGTTACAGGGACACCAAACCCAATCATCACATGGTACAAGAATGGAACAGTTTGGGCTAAAAGTAACAGAATCATCAAGATGACCATCCCAGATGGTGAAGTGATAACAATACGTCTGAGGCAAGTCGATCATGAAGCCTACTACGAGTGCATTGCTTCCAATGGGAATGCTACGGCGCGGTCACGAAAAGCTTGGTTGAAAGTTTACAAAGGTGAGTCTGTGGTCATTCATTAGTTATAGTATGTAAGCGTAACGTGTACATGTTTTTGTACAATGTATGCAGACTGCTTCATGCCTCGACCATTTCGGTCATACTGGCAACTGGAAAAATTTTTGATAACTTAATTTTACAATTGGGTGGTATCGTTGCAAGTTGTAACCTTTTGGTAAATACATGTATGTTTTGATGATCTGACCTTAAACTTTTATATGAAATATCGTTTTCTTTTATTAAAAAAATGTTAGATAGCAAGCACAGTATGAAAAAAGTTGAACTTGGATTCTTAGTCAGAGTTGATTGCAGAGAGCATTCTTCCAGCTTTGTTACTTCAGATTTGTAGTCTACCGATGATTTTACACCAGCTTCACTTCAGTAAAACTATAAAAATGTCACCTCAATTAATTTAATTTCAACGTTGTCCTGAGTAGGCACATTGTGGCTATATGTTGAAAAAAAGTACCTTCGGTGAACCGTTTTCGGACCAGTACTATAAGGAAAAAAGATATTATTTCTCCTCTTCCTCATTTTTTAAAACCTTATCCAAGTAATTTTTTACCTCGGAGAGGAAATTGTAATGAACCCGCGTTCGCGTCCAAAACTAACGGGGAAACCCCTGGGTTATGGAGCAATGAACTCAAAGCGGTCGGCGGAATGCTTGATTGACATGTAACAGTCATGATTTGTAGCATGTCCAAAGACTTGTAACCGTACCAGTGGAACAGATAGGAACACGAAACAGCAAAAACATGTAAGAGACCAAACAAAACAACTAGAAAACAAAACCAGACCACCACGAAGCTTTTTATCCGCTTTTTCAAAGCATACAGTACATTGAAACCGTGTGACTCTCTTAAAAACGTTGGTGAAGGTGAAACTTGACTACATTACAAATTTAATTTTCGGATAAACTATGACTTCCGGCTCAGTCAAAACGTTTACTACAAATGGGTATTGTGAAGCGAAATTTGTCTGGGGGTTGTTTACACAGAACCACGAAGAGAGTTATTATAACAACTGTGTCGAAAGTGTGCGATGTCTGACATTCGATTCAACGCATTTTAAGTCAGGAGTTGTTTTTAACACCTAGTGTAATTTAGTCAATCTACATGTTTAGATAAGTTCTATCGCATATTTTCTTGGTGAAATTACATTGTAGTTCATATGGCCAACAAATGATTTTGCAGAAGCCTTTTTTGTGGTAGGAATGTCATATGCTGAGCGAAAACAGTCTATGCGTTATTTGTAACAGGCGACTTATTCCTTTCTATATATATATATAAATGTGGGGGTAGAGTCTACCTTGGCATAAAGTGCTCAATGCTGTGGTAGCAGAGCTGAGTATATATAAGTGAAAGAATCAAAGAGGACGCATCGATTCTCTGTTACCCAGAGTTTCGCGCATAAACGCTCCTCCTGACGAGCGCTTAGGCGCGAAACTCTGAGTAACAGAGAATCGATGCGTCCTCTTTGATTCTTTCACTTATATATATATATATATATATATATATATATAATTATTATTATTTTAAATTCTTTACTATTTCACCAATTTATCACAATTTATCAGTATACAGTTACTGAATGCCACGGTTGTCGAGAAGAATTCGTGAATGTTCCTTAGCTTTGGAAGATACTGTTCCAACGTCACCATATTAGCTGTACCATCAATACACTTTCTGTTCTTTAGTTTCTGTTATTCGAGCTCTTTTTCATTTCCTTTTTACAAGTACTTTCTAGTAATTATTGACTTTCAAAGAACCTTATGTGGTTTAGTTCTTTGCAATGCAATTTGTTTTAGTAACAAGTAAATTTTCGTAAGGACTCCCTTGTTCTGTAAATATTTGACATCGTTCGTGTGAAGCCATCTGTCCTATTGTTATCTGTTGTGGAGTTCTTTAGAAAGCCTTTATTAAAGTTTACTGTTGTTTAAATGCTTGGTAAATAAGTCTCACGGGTTTGCCTTATGCATTTCTCTACTTGTTTACAGTAAGTAATGAGACACCTTTTGGTAATTACACATTAAATATCTCCTTTACTTTTTACCTTATCGAAAGATAAACAGGAAGTCACGCAAATCAGCATAGACAGAGCGTTGATTTAGGTTTCACCAAACAAATGCTTGCTTTAAGTTTACGCTAGTTTTGTTTTTCTTTGCGTGTGTCTTTTTTTCCTTTTTTCGTTTTTACTCGATGTGATCCCACCCGAAAAATTGGATAATACAGTGATTCATCTACATGCATCTATCTAGAGTTATACCATAGATCTGTCAGCTCCAGAAGTAAATTTAATTGCTACGGTGTTCCTTAAATCGTATTTTGATGGTACGATTATGACAAGCTGTTCAAAATTTGGGATTTTAATATCTGCCTTACAAAGTCGAATATACTTTCGAAGCCTGTAGTTTTAAGAAAACCCGTGCTCTCTTATCCAACCTTGTGTGTTCCAAGTCAAAGACGTCCTTAAGATTGTCAATTTCCGCCGACAAACCCCCCTAGATAGCTGTTCAAGAGTTTGTTTTACCCACAGGAAGTAGCCACAATGGTAGACAAAATATCATCAAAATCCCAATTGGTTTTCAGTTTACTTTTTATTTGTCACTTCTCTCCCACAGTAGTGGGATATTTTTAACTTCTACTCATTAATGTAAATCACGTTAACTGATAACAAGTCTAACGACCTTTATCGTCAATTTCGTGCTCTGTTTTAGCGACAAGACGTAAAATTCATTGTCGTGTATCAAACTCAATCCAGGTTAATGAATAGAGTGGGTAAGTTTCTAAAGAAACTGTGGTGCTGTTTCGGTGGGGGAATAGAGCAAGATAAATTTGGTTGTATCAACTCAGTTGGTAATGTTAATTGGCCACTGTAAAGAATTTCAAAGCTGACGTTTCTGGTATTAGCCCTTCACCAGATTACATACCGTAGAAAAACGGACGCATGAATCTACCTTACTTAGAACCAAACGCTTCTTTTTCCAAATTCTATGTAATCGAGGTGATTGAAATCAGAAGTAAAAAGACTTTTGCCCCGAAATTTTAAAACCTGGTTACCTCGTAATCTCGATAATCGAAACTATAAAAAAATTCTCGAACTTGACTGGTTATCACCAGCCCGATTTGAGCACTAATAGGACAGTGTACGCGTCATGCTCGTAATAGGAAAGTTAAATAGGACAGTTGAAGGGACAGTTAACTCGTCATGCTTTTGTAAATGGACAGAACGCGTCATGTGCGCGCGCTGTTGTTTCGCATCTCACCGAGTTAACTGCCTTGCTCATTACCAATGGCCAGGCTATTGTCCATCCTTACCCGCGTTTGACCTCTTCAGTCTTCCGGAAACATTTGCTAATTTCTGATAAAGTAAGCATCTTCTAATCCATTAGATATGGGTCTGTGTTTAATAGAATACAATGTTCTTCTCGAAAATATCTCTAGCGCGCAGTCCACCGCCAGGATATCCAAAAATAAGCAAAGAACCCACATTTCAGCGGGTCGTCAGTGGAGGAAGTGCTACATTTGACTGTGGGGCCACAGGGAACCCAGCCCCAGTAATATCATGGCTAAGAGATTCGAAGCCTGTCGACTTATCTGACCCAAGGATCAGCATACCCAGACCAGGAGCTTTAAAATTGTCAAACGCGAAATCCTCAGATACTTCACTGTTTGTTTGTGTTGCGACCAACAGTTTGGGAATGACTTATAGCAGACAAGCACGACTCTTGCACATAGGTTGGTTTGAGATTTATATTTATACATAGTGGTAAGGCAGGCGGCGCTGAAGTCCTGCAAGTGTGATGAGTGGCTTAATGATTCTTTGCCAAACCCAAGGTTAGCGTTTGATGGGACCAATCACATATGGTTTTGGAAAATACGTTTCTTGTTAAAAGTGCCTCTCTCTACATAAGAGTAGAACTGGTAACCTGCTTTTGATGGGAGGAAATTCGCAGTGATGTCTGTCACTGCGGATACAAGGAAAATTATATTAAACTTTATAATGGTGCTAACGCTTCATTTCCATGATCACACTTATTTTAGCTATGATTTACATCTGACGTCTGCGTTTTTCTTTAAAGTGGTTAACACGAAGCCAGTCATCACCAAACCCCCTATGCCTATCACAGTCAACCCAGAGACAGATGTCCACCTAAACTGCACAGCAACAGGCACCCCACAGCCAGATATCCGCTGGGAGCATAAAGGAGTCACTGTAGGTTATAGCGTGTTGACCATTGAAAATATCCAGAAGTCTGGTAACTACACATGCATCGCAGAAAACTCCGTAGGAAGTTCTCGAGCTTCTACTTCTGTTACTGTTAGAAGTAAGTCTTAAAAAAAAGTTCTACTCGTCTTGACCTTGAACGCTTTATTGTTCCAACACCCCTTTAAGACTCTCTCCTTAAGAAGAAGAAAAGACATAACAGTTACAAATGAGTAAAAAAGGTAAATAGTTCTAGAAAAATAATTTAAAATTGTCTCCGTTGAAACTGTGACTGGATTACCGTCGCTTCCACCTTGACGCGATTTTTACAATCAATTCCCATTGGAAATAAAATTCTGCTTTGAAAGGGAACCGTAATAACATCGGCAAGATTGATTTGTGTGCATATTTGATTTAAGAAGCCAAGAAATAATATTTAGCGAAGCATGATTTGAACAAGTGATTGTACCGTTTTGGGACTTAGATCCCTTTGAAGTCAGGAATGTTCCCTGAGGAAGTCTTCGTCCGCATGCCATGGTTCCAACTTCTCATTTCAGGTCTTTAAGCAATTCTATTAATCTCACGAGAAGCACTGCTGTGGAGAAACCAAATCCCTTAAATAGATTATAAAGTTTTCCTTCACTTGTTTTTCAGAGGTGCCATTCACTCCGACTAAACCCACTCAGGCTCAGAGAACCGCTTATTCGATCACCGTTACTTGGCAACCCACTGGAAATCACTCAATAGATTCTTACACTCTATATTACCGTGAAAAGAGCGCTAGCAAGTGGATTCTGGTAAAGGACATTCGTGGGCGAACTTCTACGACACTTGATAACCTGGAGCCCTATACTACTTATCAGTTCCGAGTTTTTGCCGTGAATAACATAGGATTAAGCAAACCTAGCCCTTTGGCTGAAATGACAACGTTGGAAAAAGGTATGACACTATTCAAATAGTTTTTTTTCCGTAAAATGTTTTTGGAAAGGAACTGGATCGAGAGAGGGCTTCCCCCAGCATGACTGATACATTTATAAAAGACAAATGATTCTAACGAAGAAGCAATCCCGGAGATAATTTTTTTTCAGGATATCAGACCAGTTCCTCAAGACTGGCAGAGACTTTAAGCCCACCCAGGCCACTAGGGGAGAGGCATGTGCTCTTACTGTGCACTATCCCTACCTCTGATATTAAAACCATGTGCATGAAGTTCGAGTTGTAATGTTAAATTGGCATCTGCTTCACTTCTTAGCTCCTGGAACACCACCAACAAACGTTCAAGCGTGGGGAATCTCCGACACATCATTCAAAGCGACATGGCTACCACCCAGTCAGCCAAATGGTCGCTTAACAGGATACCGCTTGTACCTGACTACTAATTTAAAAGGAAAATGGCTATACAGGGTGTCAGGAGAGAACGAAATGATAGTGAGAGGATTACAGAAAAAGACCACTTACTATTACACATTATATGCGTACAATAACGTTGGTGAGGGGCCTTACTCAGGGACGTATGCTGTAAAAACTTCAAAGGGAGGTAGGATATAATTTGTAACCTGCGGATTTTTAAAAATTTGAAAATGTTCATGATCAGCGAGTAGCTAGTAATTCAATGGAACGCAGTAATCCATGTTAATATATTCAGTCCATTTGAAAGGTCGTGTAAGAGTCATTGCAGTTTTCTTTAAGGAATCTTTTCTCTTGACCATGTTAAATGCATCATAAGGAGTCACTTGGAACTTACGCATGCTCAGCTAGACAAAAAATGTGAATATAGAAATCAGGGACGTATATTGTGGAGACTTCATAGGAGAGTAACATATTACCAATACCCTGAGGAATTACTTAGAACTAATACATGCACATAGGCAATAAATGTTAACCTAGAATATCAAAAAACCTTGTACAAAGTACAAATCGCAGTGCAAATCGCAAATCGCATCCAGATCTAGAGTTAATGATTTTTTTTTTCTTCAGCGCCTGGGCAGCCTAAAAATGTTCGTGTTAAAGTGCTGTCACCAAGATCGATTCAAGTCACATGGAAGGCTCCGACTTTCATTGGAAATGGTATATACGTGTATGAGGTTTATTGCAACAAGTCACGCAAAACTGTAAACACTTACACAGTTGCAAATGACTTATTTGCTTACGAGATACGAGGACTTCATCCCCACACCAACTACCGGATCCAAGTGGCCGCCAGATCTAGTGATGTTGGGCCATTGTCGTTCGCCAAGGTTGTGAAAACATTGGAAGACGGTAAAAAAATACTCTTCTATTCGCTGAGAGTGAAAAGTTAACGAACAATTGATATCAGTTTTTTAATATTGAAAGTGGAAGGGTTAGCAAGTTAAAATTGTTTTATTTCCTTTTTTAGTTCCCAGTGCACCTCCAGCTAACATTAGCAGCACAAGCGTGGAGCCGACTATTCATGAGATCAGCTGGGATCCCCCTCCACTTGGCCATCGCAATGGACGAATAACAAACTACACCATCAAGTACAGAGAAAAAGGAAAAAATGAAACGTGAGTTCTGAAACTCTATCAAATACTTCTCTTTTCTACTTCCCAATAATCGCATCGAACACTGTTGACATAAGTGAAATTCAGCATACAAGTCGCCAAGAAGCTAAACTAAGAAAAAAACAACAACGAGAAAAGTTAATAAAACAGACGAACAAAGAAAGAAGTGTAGAGTGGAGGAGTTGTGGGTTGTGTGTGGGTTGATATGCTGAAAATGGAGCCACGCTATTGGTGGGAATATGGTGACGAGAAAACAAGAATAACTTAGTTGAATGAAAAGCACTCGGTGATACCGTGGGGATTAATAGTACCGATTTGGAAGATAATTTTTTTTTTCTAGAGTTTTCCGAGCGGCTTCCCGAACTGCCTGAATGTAGGGAAAGGCCATAGTGGAAAAACTGACAGAGAAACAGAAGCAGAAAGACAGACGGACGGACTGATAGACAGACAGAGTGAAGACAGACAGACAGATTAAAAAAAGACCCACAAACTGACGTATCTGACTAACAGAAATACTATTAGTGAAGCATACCAAAGTAAAAAATAAACAGCTGACACTTTCTTCTTACCTTTGCAGTTTTTTGACTGTTGATGGAAATAAATTATCTGTCCGTCTACACAATCTAAAGAAGTATACCACGTACTTTGTCTGGGTGACAGCGAGTACGTCAGTTGGGCCTGGGCCGAGGTCTAGCGAGCACAACTTCACCACAGAGGAAGACAGTAAGTTTATTTACTTTTCCATTAAACCTTTCACTCCCCAACATCAGTATTCATTTTCCTCCATATTGTTCTCTATAGAATTTGTGTAGCAATAAAGAGCTTCTTAATTGGTGATCATTTCCTTTATTCTCGTTACCTTAATGTTTGATTCAGGGGTGATATTATAAGGAGAAATTAGATTCTAGTCACTCTGGGCAGTCGAAGGGTTAATTCTCTAGTAATATCAAGACAATTTCCCACGAATAAATGATAAAAAAGACGTCTAAGGGTAATATGTCCATAAAACACCAAATTCTCCTTTTTAATTAACCAGGAAATGTATGTCAGTATGGAGAATTTCTTGGCGGATCTTGGGAGTCAGAGCCGGGGTTAACAGTAGCTCCGGTTCTTCGACTGTTCTATTTTTCTTCTACCCTTACTGGGATTCAAATTGGCTTTAACGTAGAATACCATTCCATTGTTGATGAACAAATTGACAGTGCTTTAGCGTGGTCTTTACTTTTATCGAAAACGATATTCGTCATGACAGTGGTCAAAATGTTATGGGCTCACGAGGCGCAGCCAACGGCAAATAAGCCAATCAGATTGCGACATTACTGCCTACTGTGGTAAAATTTCACTTCGGTTAAAAGCGGTAAAAAGGACCGGAAGTGGAAACGCATCTGCTGCTAGGCTTGTTCAATTTTTGAAGAGTCGTTGGTTCTGATTGTTTTAACGCTCCGTGTTTGAGATGGGGCGACCATGTTTTTTTGCCGGTTTCAAATTAAGAAAAGTTGACGTTGGCGAAAATAATTGCTAGAACTTTCCTTAAGAGGATTAGTAATTTGACCACTGACCTCGTCGCATTGCCAATATGCAAATTTGAGACATCGTTTGGAATTTCACTTCAATATAACGGAGAACAAACAAAAACTTAAGCAGAGGTGAAGATACTGGCATGCTGCTATATTCTGAGGTTCATCACTCAGAAGAACGTCACAAAGTGCACGTCTATCTTTAAACATTTTATAAAAATGGACACGTTCAGGAACCTCTTCCATGGTCTTAATATTCAAGCAGCTTAGTTTGTTTAAAGATAGGCGTAAATAATGATGGATCATATCAACTTAGAAGATTTGTTGGGATGAAATCAAATCCCGGTTTATCCTGTCCCTTTGCTGGAGTGAAACGCGCCTACGGTTGTAAATATTTTTTAGGGATTAAATACCGTATCTTCCGTTTTTGGCCCTAATTTATGGCTGAAAAAGATGCACTCTTTGCAAGGTCGTCGGCCTTGCTTAGAAGAATCAACTTAATCCTTTTAACTGTTTATAAAATCCGGTTAAATTATTATACTTAATGGGATTAAATGAAAGACTTCTTAATTGAAAAACTGCCAAGTTCAAGAAGTTCAAATATGGGGACGTTTTTGTTTCAAGGTTAAAAGCATGTTTAAGGTGCTAAAATTTTGACAATATGCAAACACCTTGTGTCCTGTTCTCTGTTCTTGCGGAGGAGTATCATTTTACAATCGAAAGGGCAGACCGAAAGAAATCTTGTTAACGTTTTTTCGGTTTTCAACGGAAGTATTATCTTATAATCAAACCTTAAAGTATTTAGTGTAATTATCGGCGATTTAATCTGTCGATTCAATCATATTTAATCCTATCATGCCAAAGATTCCTGTGTATCAGTTGCGAGTAATTGTTGGTTCAGTGTTACTCAATAATCCATGTTAATTTATTCAATCATTATGGAAGGTCATGTAAGCGTTACGCAGCGTCCTTTCTGATTCCTTTTTAATTATCAGCTCTAGAATGTGTGTTAGATTAGACACTGAAGCATATAGTCTACAAAATTCGACCGGCTTTTGTCTACTTGTCTTTCCCTAAAGCTCTTGTCGATGAGCAGTTTCTGCTAAAAGAATTCTCTGGCGATGAATTCAGCATGTGCTTGAAGTTGGGCATCATCACATTCGTGCTGGCTGTTGTTATTTTAATAAATATTTTGACGGTTTTTACACCGCAAGAAATTGACCTGCTTGAAGTTTCCATTGCTAAATCTTAAAGTCGATGTACTCATTTTAAACGGGCTTCATTTGTTTGCGTAATGAAATCGCGTCGGAAACTCACTGATTATAAGCAGCACACTTCTTCTTCAGTCTTATTATTTGGCACGCTTTTGAATGACTGAATTTTTGAAATGAATATCAGGGGCTTGTCACTCGCGCTGTGGAGATGCATCGAAACTAAACTAAATACGCAGTGGAACTCTCTTCCTGGAGACAATTCATATCGAGAGACGGAATAAAATCTGCAATACAATGTGTTTCTATACGATTGCTGACCTTTTAGAAACCTATTACCATAAATACGTATGGTGCTGTTGATTGTAATTACATCTTTGATCTTCAAAAAAAGTTTTGCTTGAAAGTTGAAGTTAACTCTTACGAAATAAGAGTTCAAATGAAGAGGATATGTTCCATTCCTTTCTCGTTTAGGACTCTTCAAACTGAGGTCTTGTTCAAAATTGCGCTCTATCGATATACCCATGTACTCTGTAATATGGGGGGCAGTCTTTCCTAGGATTTCCAAACACAAAGAGGGAAAAACTGACTCAAGGACGTGTATTTCGAAGAAATATGTGTGCTTGAATCTTGATTATCTTTTCGGGGTAAAAAGCATTTTCACTTCTCACAATTTACCGTCCTTATCTTTTTTTGTTCAGTTCCCAGGGAAGCGCCTCGTCATCTCAAGTGCGATGTGCTGAATTCGACTGCTATCAGAGTCCGCTGGTCAGCCCCACTGCAGTCGCAGGGTGGACGTATCCGAGGCTATGTTGTATTCTATACAAAAGTCGATGATCTTGGTGAAGAACTGATTCCACCCGAGCAAACTCAAGTTAAATTTACTGCTTCCGAACATCAATTGGTGAGAATTTCGTCCTAAAAAGAAGAATTATTTATTAGTACTAATTATGGATTGGTAAAGGTTGTTGGACATTTCATAGGGATGGATATGTTGTCTCTGCGTTGTAATTTCCATCATGTGATTAATTAAACCTGCCAACGTTGTATGTTGGCTTGACTCTCAGTTCTACTCTGTAGTAAGTCATTTCTTTCGATCAAATGGTTCCAATTTAACCACCCAGCGTCCAATGGAATCCAGGCCGCATCGAAGCAAGTCTGGATACCTGTATGAGATCGAGACCATATGTGTCAGTCTGCCCAAGATGGCGTCGAAAAGCTGAAATGGCCTGGTTACCCCTCTGGATATCATAAAACCCACGGGACTGAAAACTGACATGAGTTGTATATGTTCTCCTGCGTCGAACACAGTTATGGGAACTCAACAAACAGTTTGGAAACTGAATATTTTAAGATTTCCTTTCGGGTTTGGGGTAAATTCGCATGCTAAAGGAAACAACTAAAATACTGATCACAATCTCACATTGCTTTATTGAGATATTTACACCTGTTTTTTTCTCCTGTCTATTAACAGTCCCTAATGTTAACTGAACTTGATCCTGATTCAACGTACGAAATAGAAGTTTCAGCCTACTCGAATAAAGGAGACGGAAAGCGAAGCATCTCAGTGCTTGCGAAGACCTTACCCAAGCCACCGGATGCACCATACGTTACTGGCAAAGCGGGCTCTTCCTCTTCAGGGACTGACGTTACGATTAAATGGTTCACAGCAGCCCCTAATATCTTGTCCTATAGGTTGCGGTATGGGAAGTCTTTGCACAATCTCCGTGGACGGGATCATTCTAAAGTCAAACTGAAAGAAATGCCGTTTCCTCCTCAAACCAAGGAACATTTGTTTAAAGAGCTTGGTGAGTCTGTCATGGCACAAGTCGGTTGGGGTAGTAACCCTGTATATTAGTGCTTTGTTTGGCACTGTGGCGAGTTTTGCGGGCTGTTCGCACGCTCATGTGATAGTCTAGAATGTTTTGATTTAATTTTGTTTTCTCATATCGTTTTCTAAATGCCTTCCAAAGTGATGATAATAGTATTACAGTTTATGTTCTTGGGCATTTATATGTTTTGGCCCATCTCAGCACTTATTTTAACCCTCGCCTGACGGCTTGTGCCAAAGTGACTCTGAGTCAGACCCAAAACATTTCTGTGCCCGCGAACATAAACTCCATTGTTTTATTTAGTTTCCTGTCAAGGATGCGGCTTGGGAGTTTTTAGAGTATTTGTGTTGTGTTCTTTCCCTTCCCATTTCTGTCAAAGATAAAATGAAAGATAATCTTGAAAAAGATGTTTTTTCGTCTTGTCAGGAGCGTGGGACAAAGAAAAAACTCTGAGCCCTCATGGGCACTTAGAATTTTTTTCCTGACATCTTTCTCTACTTCTTTACCAAGCTCAAAACTTGCCACCTTTCTTATTCTATTTACAAAGATAATCTAGTTTCACTAGCTAGTAGGACACTGTTGTGGGCGAAAAAATGCTGCCTGTTTTCGCGTTGGACATTCTCCTTTTGTTTACCTCTCCCAAAGCCGTCTGCTCATTCATTAACTTGCATGTTAAAGTTTGTCACGTTGGGCAGTCATCCATTACAACAACTTTGGTTTTCGCTTGTTTGGTTAGTTGGTCGAGCAATCGGTTGGTCAGTTCGTCAGCCCTTTGTTAGCCATTTTCAAGTCGTTTTGCTTTCACTGTTGCTTTCTTGATTAATATTCTCCGTAAACTGATCTCTCTCTATTCTATCTGCAGACTTAGGGGTGTGGTATCTGTTCAAAGTCTCTATACAAAGTACAGCCGGCTGGTCACTAGAAACACCATTTTGGGTTCAAATGCCTCCGGGTCCCCCAACAGGACCCCCTCTTCAGGTCAGGTCTCAGGCGGTTTCATCAACTGAAATTCGTGTAACTTGGCTAGAGCCGGACAAGTGGCAACGTAATGGACCTCTTATTGGGTATACTGTGGTATACAACCCGCTTAAACGGAAGAGACGGGTGGGAGTTAAAAATATCACCAACCCGAACCAAACGCAAGCGCTCCTAACGGGGCTCAGAATGTTCACTGAATATGAGATTCGAGTCCGAGCCCTTGGCTTGAAGGGTTCTGGGCCCTTGAGTCGCCCTGTTGTCGAGAAGACAAATGAAGGAGGTAGGTCCTGTTGTTAAATTCTTGAAAAAAACCTTTAAAGTTGTTTCTGATTATAACGAGACAGTTTCTTTATTGTTCGTTAAATAATTTCCATACTTTGCTGAATATCAAAATAACACCTTAATTAGAGGAAATGGAACGAGTCATTGAAAACCTTACATAGGGCAACCCCAGCCCCCTCTCCTCCTTTTTAAAATCCGCATGTCTTAATTACCTGCATTGTTTTTAGTTCCCAGTCCTCCTCGCGGCCTCTTGGAAGTAGCCCGAAGCACTGACGCTATTACAATATCATGGCAACCGCCCAAGTCTCCAAACGGTGAAGTGTTGAGTTATCTAGTAATCTATTCGGATGCTGTGAAGCTTCCCCTCTCCCAATGGAGTTCTAGAGGAGTCAAGGGTCTTCGAGCAACCTTAAAGGCCCTGTCACGTGACACGAAGTACTGGATTCGTGTCGCCGCTGAGACGTTGGTTGGCACCGGCAATTATTCTTCGCCAATCTTCGTAAAGACCTTGAAATACGACCGTAAGTAAAAAACCCCGACATTGCTTCCTAATGAGTCTAGCGTTCAGGCAATCTCGTTTCCATGGGTTAGGGAATCAGGAACCCTTACGCGACCTGCATTTTATATCGAGGCAGTGGGAACTAAGGTCCAAACAGGCCTTTGGAGCTAGATTGCCTCTGGACACTGATAATTGACCGTTTTGCTAAACACAACGAGTTTAGCGTAGCCTTAGTAGTGTCTGTTTAAATGCTGTTACAGTTGTACATTTATCATTCGTTAAGTGTTCCGGAGCTTGAAACAGTTTCTATCCCTTCGACGAATGCTAGAAAGAAACGAAACAGCTTAAGTCCATTCGTGCGGTCTGTGGGTTTTAGCCTTATTGTTTGTGTTCATTTTCAGTGCCAGAATCTTGCCAAGATCTGCAATTCGAGTCTAAAGGTAGCGACTTGGTAGTACTGAACTGGAAACCCCCAGTTACGGATGCAGGAATAACCAAATATAAGGTACTGTTCCAGCACTTTTCGTCTAAAAACATAGCCGTGGCGCATTGCGCATGCGTAGTCTCAATGGGCCACTCTAGTAAGATCGCTACGAAACATTAGTCTCCGGCTGGGAAACTGAACTCCAAACTTCTTCTATGAGATACTTCTGAAAGCTTAAAAAAAGACAGGATAAAAGTAAAACGGAAATATTGTTGAATACTCCTATGTAAAACATATTTATCTGTGACGTTCACTTATTCGGCGCCCTCGTTCAAGGGATACTTTCTCTTCTTCCAGGTGTGCCCCTTAAATTTATGTATTACCTATGGTACTCCATGCTCCTCATCTATATTTTCTCAAAACTTTTGATCGGTCTTCTTTCAGATAACATATTCCGGCACGAAATCCTACACGGAGAAAGGCGAACGGAAACAGCTCTCTCACATTCGCGATGTGAAGTTGGACGCTGTCTCGCCCGGTCTTCAATCGCACACCCTAAAAGGACTTGTTCCCCACACAACCTACAAGATAGAATTGTCAGCGGTTAATTCCATGGGCGAGGGGCCAAGTACAACTTTAACACTAAAAACCGACACGGGTAAACCTCCAGCTCTAACAAGACCCGTCATCATCGAGGAAAAAAGTTCAAATGAGTATTTGCCCATGAAATTGGAGGCTGCGTCAGAGAGAAATGGACCAATCAGGTAGAGGAAAAATTAATTTTACTTTTTCTGTATAGGTATATTTTGAGTATCTCAATTAATTTATAAACTTTAGCAATGTAACTAAGTCACTGCATTGTTTAGCAGACAGATGATTATAGTTAAGAACACGCGACTGTAAAAATCTGAAAAATCGTATATGTGAACTGCGGAAGAAATAAATATGGAAGCGATCTTCACAGAAGCGAGCACTACTTAAGCAGTGGTGAAAATAATGTCAGAAAAAAGATTCAGACCTGTACGGGATTTAAACCCATGACCTCTGCGATGCCGGTTTAGCGCTCTACCAACTGAGCTAACAAGGCAACTGGGAGCTGGTCATTATGTTGGTTCCAAATGAACCCGTAAAGCTGCTTAAGTAGTGTTCATTACTGCAAAGATCGCTTTCATATTCAGAGCTTTGAACGTTATAAGCAAGAAAAGCGTGATAAGAACGTATAAAAACTCGAAAGCGAGATGAAATACATAACTTTCGTGAAACATGGCCATCAGTCCGTTAAAACTTCTTGTTGTTTTCGTACAGCCATTACGTAGTAATCGTTGTGCCGCTGGGCAAAAGCAATCAGCTTCCCAAAGACAAATCCCCGGATGACTTCTTCGGAGAACTGAGGCGAAAGAGAGAGGCCGAGGGTACCAACGAAGAGCCTTACATCGCCGCAAAATTCAGCCCATCAGAACTACCGACGACATTCAACGTGGGAGATGAAAGCTTCAAGAATCTTTATGGTTACTACAATAAAAAGCTGACCAAGGGATCTTACTATACGATGTTTACAAGAGCTTATGTGAAAAGCGACAAAGGGGTACGTATGTGTGATATAACTGGGCACAGGTGGGGGAGGGGAGGGAGGGAGGGTAAGAAAAAAGATATAATTGAAAAGAAAAGTGGGAGGAGAGGAAGGACTGGGGAGAGGGGTTGGTTGTCATACTTATGATTCATAATCTCATTGGATCAATATCAGTATCTGGGCAACTGCCCACCTACCCCTCCCCTAACACAACATTAACCCTAACTTGTTATCAATAGACTGTTGTTGGGTTAGGGGAGGGGTAGGTGGGCAGTTAACCAGATACTGATATTAATCCATCTCATTTTCATGTCTTATTCTACCCAATTGACTCATGCGTGGCCTTCAATGATGTATCACTGACCTTTTCCCCTAAAATTATTTTGATTTTCCAAGATCACAATGATGATGATAAGTATTATCGTTGTTATTATTTTACCGAGAAAACTTTCCGAAGAGAGCTTCCCGCATCTTCGGAAGTAACGTTTATTTGCAACATAAAAACAAATATGAAGTTTTTTCTTTCTCTTTTTCTCATCTACAGGACGTGTTGTATACATCGAGTCCATTTGTAACACCTGTAAAGTTCGGTAAGTGCAATCCGCACTCTTAAAGTACTTCGGATAAGAGGTCTTATACAGGCAGGCGCTTGGGGCGAGTTACATTTTTATGGCAAGACCGTTGAGAATTTCCTTTCAGAAGGAAAATGTTCCTTTTCCACGTCCTGTGCAGGAAAATGAGTATTGAAGGTATTAATTCCGTCAAACGTCCTCTTTTTAAATCAGGTGACAGTTCAAAGGGGGGTTTTACTGGTGCTGCGCAGGACCCGGAGGAACACGCCGGAGGAGGACTGAACATGATGTTTATAATCATCCCAGTAGCCGCTTTAATCGCGCTTACCGCCATCATTGTTATTGCAGTCGTTGTTTGTAGAAGGTAAAATCATTTTTGTTGTTGTTGTTGTTGTTGTTTGATAGGTATGGAGCGTTCGCAAAAGAATATACTTTAGGAATAGATGAGATGAATGATCTCTGTAAACCGTTCGTTGGAAATTGTTACTCTTAGATCCGTAGTTGTAAGGATTTCTATGAGGCAACAATTATGATTGAGCTTGTGACTTTCTTTGTATTTTAGGAGAAAAAGAAAAAGTAAAAAGTCCAAATCTTTGGATGATGATAAATCAGAACCATCAGATCCTGTAGAAATGAAGAGAATGACGATCCAAACACCAGGTATTTTTTCATCAAAAATGTATCCAGTTTTTCTTTTTCTTTTTCTTTAATGATAGATTTATTCAAAAATTTTGTACCGAAATAATCACTGAGAAAAAACGCGCGAAATCTGAGTTTCTTTTTCGGAATGAAACTCTTAAATGTATTCAAACGCTGCGGTGAATAAAAGTGTAAATCAGACCTTCTATACTGTGAACGGAACAATTGTTAAAGACCCCGTAGTAAACTCTCATGAAAATGATTTTCACCAGGCACAACTGGGTTTTAAGTCAAAGTCCGTGGATGAAACTCAAACGTGTGATTACGTGAAAGCTCTTAAGCGGTATTTTATGGACACTACCAAAGTCAAAATGATAATTCTCCTGGTAGTGTTGATTTTGTTACGTAAGGCAACATCAAATTAAAATCTGAGAAAAAAAACGGCTTTCTTTATATATATTCTAGAAAGACTTAGTTGATTTGTTCAGTTAGATACATCAATCTGTAAGGGGACTCAAAAGTGTAATCTCTTCACGAGTAATATTAGCCATTGTACCGCCGTTTAAATGGAAGAACTTCAACTAATTGTGTGATGCTTGTATTTACAGCCATGATGGACCATCCTCCAATCCCTGTCTCCGAGCTTCTCAATCACAACAATAGCTTAAAAGCTGAAAAGAATTCTAAATTTTTGCAAGAATACGAGGTAATTTCAGTTTCCTATATACTGCAAACGCCTTCTCTCTATGAAGCCACCTTTGCTGTTAGGCACCACCGTTTTTTTTAATAAGTCCCCCTCTGATAAGCTCTCCCTTATAGAGCTTCAGGACCCCTTGTCTGTGATAAGCTGCCATCCCAATGGTCTTAATGCTGTCTATTTTTTTAAGTCCCTTTAACTCACGAAGGTTTTAAACAAATTAAACACATTTGCCAACTCGGCCTTCGGCTTTCAGGTGCTTTCCTGCCTTCAACGCGAACTCTTCATAAGCAAGATTTTTCTTGTAGTGGAGGATTGCCTTAATTTCTTCTTCTTTTCTGTTGCAGTCGATTGAACCAGGAGAAACCTTTACTTCTGAAGCCTCATCACAGGAGTGTAATAAATCAAAGAACCGTTATCCCAACATTGTTGCTTGTAAGTAGAATGAATGAAAGATAGAGCAGTTTTCTACCGACAACAATCCGAAATTGCGCTAATTTTGGATCGCCTCACTTTGTCGATGATTCAGAGTGTTTTTGCCAATCAAATGCAACACTTGAGGCCTGTGCGACTTTATTACCCTAACTTGGATTCTTGGAGAAGTTTTAACTTGAGTTGCGAAGATCCAAAACCAAACTAATTACAAAAGTCAATCGCAGCGAAGGTTGACATCATCATTACCCTATAGACTCTAAGTAAAAGCAGATAAACTGCGTGAAACATGGGAAAACAGGAGTGACCAAATCGAGCCTGGTTTTAGTTTTGAATCTGATTGATTGAGAAGGTGGCACGAGTTTCCTGGACCAATCACTTATTGATACTATTTTTCTCGCATTGCAAACCAGATAAACGTTTTTTTTCTCTTTCAGACGACCATTCCCGTGTACACTTGTCAATAGTAGATGGTATCGTGGGCTCCGATTACATCAACGCTAATTTCTGTGACGTAAGTGTTTTGTCATCAAACTCACCTCTGAGAATTTCACCTCTTAACCTGGGCTTTCTGTACCTAGTCTGACTCTGTACTGCTTGTTAAAGCGAAATACAACAAAACAGACAAACAAACAAGGAAACTAAAATGTTCTTAATGTCACATGCATCGTGAAAATGCTCAAAAATGGGAAGAAGTGTTGTCACAATCTGAATCATAGAGGAACCAAGAACTAGTGGTTTGGACGTGCGCCGTCAATGAAAAACATTTCAAATCTGAATTCCTGTTATTGTTTTGCAGGGATACCGCAAAGAAAACGCGTATATTGCCACACAAGGTAAATTAAAGATTTTTGTATGGTCTCTAGATTGATGCAATATTCGTTTAAATGGCTCTGTAGAAAAAAAATGCAGATGCAAAATGAAAAAAAAAAACCTCTCTTCATTACTTTTTTTCGTTTTTCAACAGGTCCTCTTGAAGAAACAATCGAGGACTTTTGGCGAATGATCTGGGAACACAAAACGTTTACAATTGTCATGCTTACAGAACTAGAAGAAAGAGGAAAGGTAAGACACATTTTATTTTTAATCATTACTTTTTGTAATTCTCTTGGTGGATTTTTCGCCATTTTCAGAGTTCTTTAGTGTCCTGGAAGAATTATGCATACCAAGGGAGTGGAAGAGGGGAAGAAACTTTTAAGATAAATTTTTGATTAAGTCCTTGGTTAAACAAAAGTTACTTTAAGGCTTGGCGAGATAATTTTTGGAAAATGTACCGACTTTGTGGTCTTGATAGAAAAAGAACAGAGTCAGAGAGAAGCCTGGTATTTAGAGTTAAGTGCGTTCAGGAATACAACACCACGACTCAAACCTCCTGTGCGTGAAGAATGATAAGTTTGTGAACATTTTATATAACTTTGTCTTCCTTTTTGTTCTGCAGATAAAATGCGAACAGTATTGGCCCACCGACGGGGCTGAATTGTATGGTGATATTGAAGTTACAGTAACAGACTGGATTGAGTTTGCCAATTACACAATTACAACGCTACAGATATGCAAGGTCTTTAAAAGCAAATTTTGAATCATAAATGTTCCTTAGCAGTTTAGATGGACTGATACAATATGCTTTTCCTTACCAAGTCTTGTTGCTTAGAAAACTGATGTGACAGTATTTAGACAAGGAGCGTTTCTTAAACGTTTTGTCCGCTAAGATGATTAGCAAATAGGTGGAAAGAGTTCAAAGCAAACTCTTATCAGCAAGTTTCCCCTAATGAGTGCTTTAGGCAGTCTTTTTTTAGTCATGCATAAAGCAACCAATTTTCGTTGTGAACGGTTCTTTTGCCACAAAAACGTAGAAAATTCTGTTGAAAGTTGCTTTATTAAATGAAGTTTTTGTAGAATATTTTTAGTAGAAATTGGTTGTTAAAGGAAATGGTCTTCTCTTACTCATTTTCATCTTTCAAAATTTTCAGGAGGGAGCCCCGCAGCCCAGAGAAGTGAAACATTTCCAGTTCGCTGGCTGGCCTGATCATAGTGTCCCACCCCATCCTACTCCCTTCCTTGCATTCCTCAGAAGAGTCCGTTTCTATAATCCTACAGACGCAGGCCCCATAGTGGTGCACTGCAGGTAATTACCAAATGAAATAATGATGTTTATTTTGTACAAAAATTTATGAAGTAAACAGCGGAGGTTATCCTTATCGGAACTTTCTCTAAATGAAATATCGAAGAAGTTATGTTAAAAATAGAACTGGTGAGAGTTAAGCTTAGTTTATAAAACCTTCTTAATTTACTTCGAAAAATGCTAAAAAAAAAAAGGAAAGGAAAAAGAGGGAGCCGCCCAACGTGGGGCTCGAACCCACGACCCTGAGATTAAGAGTCTCATGCTCTACCGACTGAGCTAGTCGGGCTGGTGGATAACTAAAAAAATCTGTTGGCATTTTCTGTTACGTTAAATTGGTTGGTAACCTGAATTAATTTGTGTAACTTCTAAAAAAGAGAATTATGTTTCCACAGTGCCTTTCCACTGGGAAAACGACTTAAAGTAAGCTAATACAACAAAAACATTATTCTTTCTTGTTTGTAACAGTGGTGGTGTTGGTAGAACAGCCTGCTTCATCGTCATTGACTCCATGCTAGAAAGAGTGAAACATGAAAATACCGTCGACATATATGGACACGTGACTGTGCTAAGAACCCAACGTAACTTCATGGTCCAGAACGAGGTAAGTTCAAATGCAAACATCTTTGACATTGAGATACTAAAACTGGAGAATTTTACAACTGAAACACGTTTCGGGCTCATCAGCGTGTCGAGTTTGCAAAATTATTTAAAATTATTATAACCCCACACGTGATAAGATAAAGCGATGTAAATACGGAAAAAGTCCTTTATTCCTTAATGTTACCCTTATATTTTTTAAGGAACAATACATCTTTATTCACGACGCACTCCTTGAAGCAGTATCCTGCGGCAATACAGAAGTTCATGCGAGGAACCTTGTGCAACACATTAAGCGACTCACAGAACCTTCGGAAGGCGGAACGGCCGGTTTAGCGGAGGAATTCAGAAAGCTTAGTAACCCAAATCAAGCTCGCCGACTGAAGCAGGGAACAGGAAGTCTGACACATAACAGATCAAAAAACAGATTGGCCAACATTTTACCATGTAAGAGACTAGCTCAGGCTGGTAAAGTAATTTTTATCCTTCACCGATAGGTCAATGTTTTCATTAAAAGCCTGCATTACTTCCTTTTATTTCAATATCTTTCAAAAATCACCTCCACTCTGGTGAAAATTTTGAAGACCAATTATTGTAGCAACATTTCTCATGAGATACACGAGGAAGAAGAAAAGCTGCAATGGATGACAATTCAAGCCAAAATAAAAACGGTTACTTTTAGGCGAAGCTTAAGCTTCGCTAATAACAACTCCCTCAACAATTCAATGATCTTCAAAAAAATCGTTTCTTCCAACCCACGTTAGTCTTCTCTGTCTGTAGACGCTCTCGTTTTGCCTTGCATCAGTGATTTAAGGAGAAAAAAGAGAGAAAGAAAACATTTTCGTCGCAAAACAACTCGAGTTGCAATAAATACTTGCCTGTGTTGAGTGTAGCCCTTATGCTTTTCTTCTTTTCTTCTTTTCTTTGCAACAGACGAATCAACAAGAGTGCAGTTGATATCTACTCGCGGCATCGAAGGCTCTGACTACATTAACGCAAGTTACATTGACGTGAGTACCACGAACAATTTGTCTGGGTTTCCTGTTTCTCCATGAGTTCTTGTTTTCTTCGGATTGAGCTCATTGAGTACTGGATCACATGATGTGTTTCCAACCCGTTGGTCTCTTCTCTCCTGCTGTATTCTCACAGTGCCTCACTCCGGTCAGGAGTATAAATGGGTACGGGCGAACTGTCAGAGAAGTCTGACAAAATGCTGGGGAGAGGGAAGGAGGGGTAGGGTTAGGGGATAAACTGTATTGGACAAGCATCCATTCATGTATCAGAGACCAAGAAAAGTTTTGACCGTTAAACTATGAGGCGAGAGTGTAACCTCGTCTAATTCAGAATTATCAATTTTCTTTCCAGGGCTATCGTCAGAGAGGTGCTTACATCGCTACACAAGGTCCTTTGCAGGAAACCGTGGATGACTTTTGGAGAATGTTAATGGAAAATAACTCAAACATCGTTGTCATGTTGACGCAGCTTTACGAAGGAGACAGGGTATGCTAAAAATAATTTATGGATGAGCATAATTACTGATATGAATTTATTCGGAAAGTCACCCAGTAACGGCTTTGCTTATTGGTGGGCTTCGAAAAATTTATGCATGACCTGCATAATTATTACAATCTATGAATACTAATTTAGTCAACTACATTATCTCCTTATGGTGTTGCTTCAACTTCTGACCAAATGACGCTGCTCGTAGGTTATGTAAGACTTAATTATTTCTAAAAGTTGTGAATTTATCATTGTTATAACTTCCTCACGTCTCCCCCGTTAGGAGCGTTGTTACCAGTACTGGCCGACTGATCGCTCCGCAAAGCACCAGTATTATATAGTGGATCCTGTGTCTGAACAAGAATTTCCTCAGTTTGTTATCAGAGAATTCAAAGTTAAAGATATCATGGTAAGTAAATGTTCTGCACTTATTGACTGAGTAAAGCTCCGGGCGGGAAAATATTTGGCTCGAGGAAATGTCGTGCACCCTGAGGGCATCAAGGTCCGTGTCTTATGATTGAGCTAAGGTGGTATTATTTAATACGATGAACACGATTAACCAAGAAAATGAATATTGCTTCCAATTTCATCTTTGTCACTCTTTATTTCATAGAACGACAATGTACGAAACATAAAACAGTTCCACTTTCACGGATGGACCGAAAGTGTCCCCAAGAGCGGTGAGGGTATCTTGGAGTTAATAGGCCAAATACAAAGAACATACGAACAGCAAGAGGAGGAAGGCCCCATCACAGTGCACTGCAGGTAAATGAAGTTAAGGGTATTTTCCATTGCACTGAATCTCAGGCATAGTGGGAACAGAAAGGTTTTCCATTCCCGAGCGGAAAGTCAATCAATTACTTCCGGCCTTTTCACGTTTCTCAAACCTCTCAGAGTCGGCCAAAGTTCCGATATATATAAATACCAGTGTTATCTTGATGGAATTTATCTCGTGGAATTAACTTGATATTTAAACACGTAACGCTTGTTTTTTATCTTAGTGATGGTGTTGGTAGAACTGGAGTATTCTGCGCCCTTTCTATCGTGCTAGAGCGCATGCGCTCTGAGGGAGTGGTAGATTTGTTCCAGACGGTGAAACTTCTTAGAACGCAGAGGCCAAACATGATTCAAAATAAGGTTTGTATGGAAGATCTGTACTTATTTTATGTTTTGTGAACTTGCCTTTGAGAGTGATAATTTTGCTGTTTCAAATTCAACTGCCTTTTTTGCTTCTCGTCGAAGATTTCATTTACATTACGTGTCTGGGTAATAACCGACTCCCTGACTGACTAGCTGGCTGTCAGACTGACAGACTGATTGTTTGACTAAAGTTGACGGAATTACTGACTGTTCGACCTACCGACCGACCGACCGACCGACCGACCGACTGACTGATTCACTGACTTACAAGTAAGTGAACGTTAAGAAATGCGCATCTCTGATATTTTCTTGCTTCTTCCTCCATCAGGAACAATACCTATTCTGTTACCAAAGAGCTTTAGAATACCTCAGCTCGTTCGACCATTACGCCGTGTGAGAAATCATGGAGTGTGAGCCGACAATTTGTAATGAAAACTTGCAATAACTTCTTTCGCAAGGTAGAATGCAAATATGTAGGAAATCATAGCTACAAAAACCGCAATTATTACATCTCCCAAATATGTCGCAACCGGCAAGAATTGGAAAAGTTCACCATGGTTGGATGATAAATTTACAATCCCGAAAATGAATGTGAGCGAGAGTAAAAGATTAGCATGGATCGCCAAGATGAGCTTTCGTCTCGAAGCCAACCTAGACATGGAAACAGGATTTGTGACGAAGCGTAAACACAGTATCTAATCTGTGAATATTGGTATATTTATTTTAATGGATGCCAGAGCTATCAGTAGTTTGATAAGAGAGGAGCATCGGAGAGAAATGAAGTCAATTTCTCGAGATTTAAAGTGAAAAGACATTGATTACGAAACGGAGGGTAAGGACAAGTATGAGAAAAGTGGCATAGATGTTGACGCTCAATAAGAAAATTTATATATTAAAAAAAAAAATAGACAGTTCTAATGGTCGCAATACATTGACAAAAAAAAGTTTTTAAAATTTGGGTCACTTAGATAAAATCACCTTGAAATGCTTTTTGGTGAAGAAGAAGTTTAGCTTTCGAGGCCAATTTTTATATTAGAAGCTAATAATCTATTTCATTTTCGTAGCGTTTAAAAGAGCGTCAACTTAAGAAATATTTATGCCAAAACAGGCAATCCTTTTAATTTTTGTTGAGGTTATGAGATATTTTTTTTTGAAAGGGATGTGGAAGTCTTCTGGAGTTGTAAGCTGGATACATCTTGAAATTTAAATATTTTATGGATATTTTTACATCAGCATTAATTAACATGATTCAAAGCGCTCATTCATGATTCTTACGTCGGCTCTAAGGCAACAATTTTTTTTAAAATCATTTTTGATCAACTTTGTTTTCATCGAATGATAATCTTAAATATTGCCCATAATACTTGATACGGCTGCTATCTTGAATGAATGAATTTTTGCCCGGAGGAATCCTTTGATTTTTTAATTTTTGAAAAATTTATTCATTTAACATAACCGCTGCATCTCTTGTTATCGAGTGTATCACTCTACCCATAAACCCTATCTCTTAATTATATCCATGCGTGATACGAGACTAATTTTTTTATAGTTTTTTTAGGTGGGAGTTATTTCTTCATATTTAATCGCAAAATTGATATATCGATGCCGGTATTACATAATTTTTATCCCGTAAAGTGAGGCAACTTTTACAAATAGGTTCCCGTCTTCCTTGAGACAAATGAGAAAAGGTGGGAAGTCTTGGCGTTTAGGAATCGTCCTCTCCTCATAATTTTAAACGCTATTAATGAGTTTAGACCCCAACAATGTGAGCACCAAACGCGAGCAGCTCTTTGAATAATCTTTTGTTCACTAATCTGATGGTTTCAATGGGGTAATGGCTTTTACAGCTAACGGTTAAAACTTTGGCCAATTTACGTCTAACGGCTGATATTTTACTTTCTTTCGAATTTTTTTTCTTTTTTTTACGGTTAACTTTTTTTACCTCCACCGGTTAAAGTTTATCAATTTTTACGCCTACAAGCTAAAACCCCATTGAAACCTTTTAATTTTCTCACCGAATGATTTTCCGTGAAAGTACACGTTACTTTGGAACCTATTTTAGTTTGCCAATTATGAAACTATGGAATAACGAATAATTAAGGGTGCAATTTCCAAACTGATCCTCTTGCTCTAGCTGCTTTTAACCGTTTTAATCAAATCGAATTACCGACAAATGCGATTTAAGTTTTAAAATCGTTTGTCAGCTCGCTTTTAGAAATGCCAAATTTCCCTTATTTTAGAACTAAGAGTTCAGGCCGCTGAGATATCATACCAATGCATCAAGTATTTATGTGCCAAACAGAATTTTTCGTTTAGATTTATAGTTGACAGATGAATTTTTAACTCTCTAAGTGTAGATAATCCAGTGTATAGATAGAGAGAATTATATTTTTTTTACAATGAACAATAAAGAACAATTTAAAATCTCTTTATGCATGAGCTTCATACCTTCCCCGTAGGCGGTGCAGACTTGGGCAAATACGTTTGATATACCAGGGTGAAGAGGAAAGACAAGAGAACCTGATTAATAAAGAATTTTTAATTTTCAATATTTGGTTTCCTCAAAAAAAAAGAAAGGCGTTCGAAATAGTGCATTTGCTTAGAGTTGAATCAACAGACATTGTCAGAAAATACCGGTCAAGACTTTTACATGATATATCGTGAATGAACTTATTAGTCCAAAGGCTTATCGAGTCTCGACCCTGCCTTGTACAAAGAAAGGCAATTCCAGTGTGGGACGTGGAAAACTTCTCTGGAGGCATCGGTATATCGAACCATTCGCTTGGTCACATATTCACCTTCCTGCTCGCAGCCTGCATCAAAATGAAACTTTCCAGTCCCAACTGGTTCCTCACCGGAAAATGTCCCATGATATGTGAAGCTTGAGGTTATAAGTTTTCCATGGTCTTTAGATATGCCATCACTCCAGTTACCTGGAAAACAATCAACAGCGTAAATGTCTTGTTTCTACTGTGACTACTTCATCAAAAGTTACAGTGTTTTTACTCGCTAACGGTTGGTTGTGAAACGCGCAATGTTCTATAAAACAGATGTATCCTTTCAAGGAAAATAGAAAGATACTGTTCCATGCGTACTGTAGTTAAACATGATCTTTGGTTAATTAATTCTCTTTCTGAATGATATCTGGTGTGAATTTAATGATACCATCCTGTTTTACATTTTTATGTCGTTGTCGCACTTATGACCCATTTCTTTGTTGGTTAAAAAGTGCTTCGCCTTTTTTTTTTTTTGCGCTTGAACGGTGCCTTAGTACTTCAGCCTTCTTAGAATTTCAAACTATGTATTGGCTTGCCAGTAATTTACTGTGAACACCATGAAAATTTATAGCATTTTTTTTTTTTGCCTTTAAACTCGGGAAGCTAATCAAGCCAATCTGTGCGGAGGTATGGGACTGAGCATCACTCTAATAGTTTCACGCGGCGCGCTGACATGATTTTCCCTTAGACTCGCGCAATATATTTCACCGACAGGGAAGAACTGCATGCAGTGTAGTGTTTAGCTTGTGGTTCGAAGATTTACTCGTGTATAATAAATGACGATTTATTAAAAATTAATTTGCACACAACGGACCCGCTTGAATTAAATCAAAGTATTTACGACTTTCTGTTTTCAAAAGAGCAGTTGCGATTCACGTTATAATTACCCCGGTATCTAATTCCTTTATCCTTGTAGATATACTCTCCCTGTCCATGTTTGCGGCCATCTTTCCACATCCCTTCATATACGTCCCCGTTTGCATAAGTATACTTGCCATAACCGTTCCTTAGACCCTCGGCCCAGGTTCCCTCGTAAATTGACCCGTCAGGATACCAGAATTTTCCTTGACCACACTTTTGGCCGTTACTGTATTCTCCTTCGTATCTATTGAGAGGAATTTATTTGGTATAAGGACTATGCGGGGATGTTTTGGCCTCACAGGTTTATTCTTAATGTGTTTTAGCCCGCTCGCACGCTCGCGTGATTGTTCATACTGGTTCTTTGGTTATGCTTTCAGTTCTTATCGTCTCGATGTCCTCCAAAGTGATAAATTTAGTAATACAAATTATGTTCTTGGGCATTATAATGTCTTGGAGTCCTCCTTAGAGTCAATTCTCCCTCGCCTAACGGATCGGGCTAAAATGACTCTGAGTCGGTCCCAAAACATATTTATGCACGCGAACATAGACTTTTCTCTAAATAGCTATCGTGCCAAGAGAAGGAAAACCACCAATTTCGCGTCAGCAGATGAATAACAATAAGTTACCTTGCTTTACTCTTGAGGAATGTATATTTTCCATTACCATTTCTTTTGCCATTCTTATAATCTCCCTCGTACTCGTCTCCATTCGGCAGCAGAGCACGACCAAACCCATGCCGTTCCTCCTTCTCATTTCGTTCTCCTTCATACTCTCCCAAAAACAGCGATATTTCTGGCGACTGACCGCTTTCAAGACTATCGAGCGACATTTTTTTCGGCTTAACTGTTCGATTTGTTTTTCTTCTTTCCTTCTACGTTTCACAAGGGAAAAGGTAGCAGTAAAGTATTCCTTTATGTCAAGAATACTTTAAGAGTGTCGGTTGTTTTCAATTGTTACCTCAGTAATTATTTCAGAATTTGCATTCTGTCGGTCGCGCGTGCAAAAATTAGAGAACGTGATTAACGTCTTCTCAATTTCATTGGTGGGGTTACGGAAGAGAGCGATTTCAAACTTTGCAATGACTAAATGGGGTGCTTTCAGGCTGTCAGAACCAAGTTGTGTCACCCGAGTTACAAACAAACATACAAGCCAGTAAATCACGGTGTTTTAAAAACGCGTAACTTTTTCGGTAAAGCTCAAAACAGAGTGATAAATCAACAGGATACCCAGAATTGAATAAGCTTTGTGTTCGAAAAGTCTCGAATTTTCAATTTCCCAATTTTTGTGTCTATTTACAGATTTTTAGGGACGTTTCAAATTTTCTTTCGCTCATTTTGCGAGACAGCGGTCGTTTCTTATGTTTTCCTTTGAAATTTCGCGCGGGAAATTGACGCGCACCCGGCTAGAAATGATACCCTCGCGCATGCCTGACGTTTGACCGCTTGTGCTGGGTTACAGAGCCTCGAGGCCCTGCAGCTGCAAAAGAAAACCTTGAGATCATTAGCAAAGAGGAAAATACAACAATTATTATATATTCTGTAAGATTTGAGAAGGTTCTGTTAATTTCAAATTGCAAGTCAAACAGTTCTTCCTTATCAAGAGGAAATAATTTGCTTTGGCACTGATTTAGTCCTTTGCAAAGAGTCGCAATTCACAGAAATTACGCCACTTCCAAAACTTCTCGATAGAGACGATAAAATCAAAGTTTATGATGAAAAATACACTCCTAAAGACGTAAAAAACCTTAACTATAAAGTGCATTTGCAATTTTTGAACCTTGAAACATAGTAAACAGCTAGCAATTAACTTGTTAGCTCAGTTGGTAGAGCACTGCAGCGAATCTGCAGAAGTCATGGGTTCAAATCCCGTGCAGGCCTGAACTTTTTTTTTTTTCAGGCTATATCTTCACTTCTCCTTTTAGAAGTAGTGTTCATTGATGCGAAGATAACTTTCATATTCATTTGATTGGACTTTTTTATAGAATTGGACAGCTTTCTCAATAATGGACATTTATTTTGAGTTTAACGCTAACTAATTTGAAATTCAATTTTTTAAATTGTGGCTACACGCCACATCTAGGGAAATTGCTTTACTGTGCAGGTTTAAGAAAGTACTTTTCAAAGGAGCCATATTTGATTGTAAAAAAAAAAAAAAAACCCCTACCTACCCTCCCCCCCTCCTTACCACAAACAGCTTCTATCAATTGTTGTGGTTCTTTTGGAGACGATGATTGCAATTCGAGTCTGATTATGTACCGCAATTATAGTTTAAATTCCAATCACTTCACATTTGTTTCATTTACCATCACACATAAAAACTGTCCTATAAATCAATTTTTATTTTCATTGGACCAAAGCAGAGGATCAGAAATAATGTTTCAATAGAGAAAGAGAAAAGTCGGCTAAAATGAAGCAGCTGTGGTGCAGCCTTTAATTTTGAGAAAAGTTACTGTGATACGAGCTAGTTGGTCAATTTTTAAGCACTTTGTAAGTGATCAAATAACAATTTCTATAGCGTTCCTCATGGGGGTTCGAATACAGCTCACGCAGCTCCCTGTTTACAAGGCTCCATTTTCCTAACTTCTCCAACTCCTCAAACTTCGTGCTATAACCAAGTTCCTTTGGGTCAAAAGAATCTGCTCGAATAGAGAAAATAAACAACCCACCTAGAATCAAAATGAAACAAAATACTCATATTAGTGTTAAGGAAAGTTTTGTTGACCCTTTACACCCTGGCACATCAGTTTGAATATTCTCCATTTCCTAAGGTGCTGACAAGGAGAATTTGTTTAACAATCAAGAGCTTCTTTATTTGGTGATCATTTCCTTTATTCTCATGACCTTCAAGTCTGATTCAGGGGTGATATTGTAAGGAGAAATTAGATGCTAGTCCTTCTTAGGGGTGAAAGTACTTGGGCAGAAATACATGTGAACCAGATCAATATTATTAAGTGCAAAAGCTAAAAGCCCAATACCAGTATGTCCTAGTAACTGCCAAAAAACCCCTTCTCTCTGTTTAAGAGCCCCCCTCTCCTTCCCCATCTTTAAAAAGCACTCCAAAAGGTTAAAGTTCCTCAGGTGCCTAATTGAAAGTTAAGGGAAAAAAAATTACAATCCCAGTTTTATTTCCTTGGTGTTCAGTTGCACAATTCCAATTTATATTTATCAGCACATCATTTGGATTATTTCAGCCAGGTTTTCACTGGCAAAAGCACAAGAGTTATAAATGCAAATAATACAAAAATTGATGAAAGCACAAACAAGGGTCAGGATTTTTAATTCCAAAAGTAAAGCTTTTTGAATATGTTGTTAACAATTTAATGTCATAGCACCTTCCACAGCTCAATGTTAATCAATTTCCAAGAGCTGCTATGTTTATGTTTGTGCTAATTTACATCTGTGCTTGTGCCACTATTAAAAAACAGGCTTGACTGTGGGATGTGGGAGATTTGCTAGCTAATGGTTGGTGTGTTGGACTCCAGTCACAGAGGTCATGGTTCAAGGCTGGCCTGGTCAATGCATTGTGTTCTAGGGTCAAACACTTTCACAGAGCCCCTCTCCACCCATAAGCGTATATGGGTGTTGGCAAATTGTCAGGGAGGTCTCTTCACCCTTTACACCCTAACATCAGTTTGCATATTCTCCATACTGTTCTATTTTTATTTCCTTGGCTGTCAACAAGGAGAATTTGTTTAACAATCAAGAGCTTCTCTGCCTGGTGATCATTTTCTCTTTTCTCACAACCTTCATGTGCAATTCAGGGGTGACATTGTAAGGAGAAATTAGATGCTACTCACTCTTAGGGGTTACAGGGTTAAAATACTGGGGGTACCCTTGTGGTGGATTGGCATCCCATCCAGGGGGGGTGGTATACTTCTAGTCAACTCATGCTATGGAAACTGGGATAAACTCTGGCTGGATGGACCACTTGGCTTAACCATAAACTTTACCCTCCTATCTTAAACCTTTAACTCCCAAGATCGTATTGTCAATTCTTCCTTCTGGCTGTGACACATTTCTTTGCAAGTTAGTTACAAGAATTTGGTGTTAGATCAAGATAACAACAGCTACCTGATAATTTTGAGGATTCTCATCACTTGTTTGCTGAATAATGTATGGATGTTTTAGGGAGAAGTCGCATGCTAATCTCTACTGGGAGTTTAAGGGTTAACTGTGGGATACATTCAAGTGCCCTATATTTACCTGGTCTTACATGACGTATACACTCATCCAGTGCCACAGGCTTGGCTTGACCATAAACGATGGTGCCTGCACACAATGTCACATCATATTCAGCAGTCTGTATCTGGTCTATGCGAACATCACTCAAAGGTGCACAGATAAGTCGCTTGTAAATGTTCTTCTTTTCAGCAATATCTAACATTTTTGGTGAAATATCCAAGGCATCAACATTTGTATAGCCTTGTTTAACCAGCATCTCACCAATGATGCCTGTACCAGCTCCAGCATCAAGGATCTTTAAGTTTTTGTCTGCACCAGGAAAGATCTCTTCAGACTGCATGGCTCTGTTGAAAGCTTCCATACATAAGACATGGCCCTTATACCCATGTTCATCTGTATCCTATTAAACAGTGAAACAAATGGCTGATTATAAAATACTGCAAAACAAAATTCTTACAAAACAATTTTGAGGTCTGTACTGTATGTTTCAGACTAAGTTTTTTCTGCTTGCATTTATGGCCCAAGCAAGAAGCATACAGGCCATAAATCCAAGCTGAAAAAAGTGAGGTTCTGTGATAAATATTTTCTAATTCAAAGAGTGGGGAGGAAATTTCAATTCGAACAAATGTTTGAATTAAGCAGGTCATAAAGTGAAATACTCCCTGTTAAATTGACAAGTCATAGTGCAAGTACTGACTTAACCAACAGTTCAGACTTACAGTCTGCTGATTAATAACCCTACTAACCTTTTCATAAGTTGCAGCCCAAGCATCATAAGTTTCTTTTGCATCTTCTTCAGTTGATGATGGAGTAAGCTCCAAAATAGCTTTGTTTACAACACTTGTCATGATCAGGTGACCTATTAAAAAAGGTGTAGAGCAAAATATAAATTTTGCATTACTAATTATAGTGTATTCTTTTCCATTTCCTAAACCCTTCCACTCCGAAGATCTCATGAGTAATTCTCCTTAACATCTACCAAGCAATTCTTATGATATTAGTTTGAGAATTAGGTATTGGATCAAAAAATAATCCTCTCATTGATATTTTATTTATTCTCATCACTTGTCTACTTGATATTCTGTTGATATTGTAAGGAGAAATTCTGTCTTGGTCATTCATGGGAGTTAAAGGGTTAGGACAAAGTAGGAGAAGTATGACCTAAAATGGGACTCACATGAAAGCATACTAAGACAGACAGCAAAAGATAAAAAGCAATAAAGGGAAAGTCTAAAGCTCCAATGTCTGCTACTTAGCTCAAGCCTCCTTCTCTTGACTGAGAGGAAATAGAAAAGACTGCTACATGTACGAGGGCCAATGGCTGATGGTTCTTAAGACTGATTCTAAACCACATTATTAACTATAAGAAGCCTTTGGGACAAAGGGCTTCTAAGAGTGCAAATGAGGTATGTCATTCACTAACAAGCTAAGCAATTGAGCAACTGATTTTCAGATTGCTAAGTGATCTCTAAATCTTTAACCCCTACCAGTAACAATAGAATCTCATTTCTTCTTGCAAATTACCCCTGAATCACATATCAAGATTACAAGAATCGAGGAAATGTTCACCAAATAAAGGAGCTTCAGATTGTTAATCAAATTCTCCTTCTCAATGTATGGAGAACAGTACAGAGAATATGCACACTGATGTTGGGTTGTGAAGGGTAAAGTGCACAGCTAGTATGAGTTTAGCATCACTGTACTTTTACTAGTGATAGGAAAAGCAACTAAAAGTACAACTATACACAACACTCGGCTGATATTAAATTGCCTGTACTAAGTGAGCATGCTGGCTCGATCGCAAGTATTATGCAAGACTGTCTCTGTACTGAGTTCCTATGTATGTAATTTACAAGCATGCACATCACCCTATTAAGAGTGATGTTTCCCAATAGAACTACAATAATGACTACTAAGGAATTCTCAACAGCAGCACCAACAGCAGTAAAACGACAAAAAAATATGTAGTCTGTTTCACATATAAAAAGGAGATTTGTTAAACTAAGTGAAAATTTAAAAGCCACAAGGAAGTAGCAGAGAGGTCAACATATCTGCAGATATATTATTTCGGATCACATCTCAACCTGCACTCCCTAAGTTTGTAAATTGGCCACCATTTCGTCTCAGTTTTCCTCATAAACTGAAAGTTACCCTAATGGTGCATAAATTACCTTGCTACTAACTGGAGACTAATCAGGTAATTGCACAAATTGCAAATTCATAGTGAGCAAGGACATCAAAAAATGATGATTGAGTTCTTTACTACGAAATTTAAATTTCTAAACAGAGTTTCAAATCAATTTTTTTGCGCGCGCGATTGCTGAAGACACTAGGAGGGATTAAAACCATGTTTTTTATTCTTCTAGTAACCCAAAGTGAAACAAAAAATAAAAATAAACAGAAAACCAGAGAGCATTTTCTCTTTCCTTCGTTTCGCAAGGATAATCACGATTTGAACAAGAAAATTCGGTCACACACTGTAGATTTTCTAGCATTATGCATCATCCATTGACTTATCACATGAAAATTAATTATAAATTTACCTCAGATGTTCTCCGTAAGATCAATTCCGCAATGCTCTAAAAGAACACGGCTTAAAAGCCCAATAAGCTGCAAATCCAGGTCGGAATATTCCTATTGCCCAATTCTTCATGATTCGTACCCCCGGGGGTCAGCACTGCGGTCAGTGTAGAAAATCACGTGTCTATGGTGTCTACGGTGTCTCTTTGGTTTCAACGGACCTTTTTAGCTTCATACGTCATAGATTGGAAGTGGTCCGAGGAGGCAAACACAGTCACCGCGGCCATAACAAATTAAACTGCGAAGTGGTAAGAATGGCCTAAGTGTCGACAACCGAGTGATATTATTGAATTTGTCCACGGAAAAAAAAAAAAAATTTTTGGAGTCGGTCGACAATTTTAAATAAACATCTGACATTCTTAAGAAGTTAGGAGGAACCTTCCAATGGAAATTCTGTAAAAATTTCTGACTGCCGGGCATATTTAGTCTATCTGAGACCATACCCGGCAACTGGGCATTTAGCCACAGCTTTGTTTTTGTGTGGATAACCCGAGGCTATTTAAAAAAGAAATAGTGTTTCGTCTCTGATCACGATAACTAGGCATGGCTGCACAGGTCAGGAAAATTTAGGGAAAATGGATTATGATGTTTCCCTTGGTAATGCAAGTTGGAGATGGTTTTTGAATGAAATCCTACATTTTCCTTTTCTTCAGTGCATTTCATGGAAATGAAAGATATCGGATTGGTAAAAAAATGCTTGTTAGGTTTTCAAGAAAATGAAATCTTTTTCCACGTTGCCTCGAGGAATTATTAATTCATGTACACTGTACGTGCCTTCCTGAAAGTTTTAATTTATGGGTGGAACTGGTGGCTGTGAGGGGGAGGGTCGAAGTCATTTGCAGGATTCGCTCGTGAAATTGTTTATTTAATCGGTCAGACAAATTCACGTTTATCAGGGAAAGTCACGGAAATTCAAAAACCTATAACTGTAGCAACTATTATGGTAGGGGTTGTTTTTGTTTGAACCCGTATACCTTTCTGTTTCTTTCCGTAGATCTCCTTTAACATGTAAAGGATGCCGAGCGTAAACTGAGCGTTAAACATAAGATTTATAAATATCCGATCCTCAGGATCGCTTAGTAGTTCCTCATCGACATACAATAGCTTGGATTATATAGGTTGTCTCGATTTCTTGATAAGTCATTTCTTGAACGCGATCGGTTTACTTTGGCTCAGAAGACTTAGAAATAGCGTGACGTCGACAGCTGGTCACGGTTATCAAATAACTAAATGAATGGCAGTCGTTAATTTGCTTGAAAGTTTCTCACCTTATACATTTGTTGTGATCTATAAAGATCGTGCTCTTTAAAGTTTGTTTTTCCAGC